CCCCAAATTCCCATTTTCCCCCCAAAATCCCCATTTCCCCCCCAAAATCCCATTTTTCCCCAAAATCCCCATTTTTCCCCAAAGTGTCGTTTTTTGGCATTTTCCCGTTTTCCCCCGTTTTCTCCCCGTTTCCCACCTTGGCGCCGCTGCCGATGTCGACGTTCCGGACGATTTCGCTCTGCGGGATCCGCGCCGGCTCCTGCCCCGGCTCCGCCTCCAGGAACCTGCCCGGCCCAAAATCCCCTTTTTTAACCCCAAAAATCATTCCTTTTGTAGCCCCCAAAATCCCCTTTTTTAGCCCCAAAAATCCCCTTTTTTAGCCCCAAAAATTCCCTTTTTGTAGCCCCCAAAAATTCCCTTTTTCTTCTAAAAAATTCCCTTTTTCTCCTAAAAATTCCCTCTTTTTTAACCCCAAAAATTATTCCTTTTTTAGCCCCCAAAATCCCCTTTTCTAGCCCCAAAAATTCCCTTTTTTTAGCCCCAAAAATTCCCTTTTTCTCCTAAAAAATCCCTCTTTTTTTGCCCCAAAAATTCCCTTTTCTAACCCCAAAAATTATTCTTTTTTTAACCCCCAAAATCCCCTTTTTTAGACCTAAAAATTACTTTTTAGCCCCAAAAATTCCCTTTTTCTCCTCAAAATTTCCCTCTTTTTAGCCCCAAAAATCCCCTTTTTTAGCCCCCAAAATCCCCTTTTTAGCCCCAAAAATCCCCTTTCTTAGCCCCAAAAATTCCCTTTTTTTAGCCCCAAAAATTCCCTTTTTCTCCTAAAAATTCCCTCTTTTTTTGCCCCAAAAATTATTCCTTTTTTAGCCCCAAAAATTATTCCTTTTTTAGCCCCCAAAATCCCCTTTTTTAGCCCCAAAAATTCCCTTTTTGTAGCCCCCAAAATTCCCTTTTTCTCCTAAAAAATCCCTCTTTTTTTGCCCCAAAAATTATTCCTTTTTTAACCCCCAAAATCCCCTTTTTTAGACCCAAAAATTCCTTTTTAGCCCCAAAAATTCCCTTTTTCTCCTCAAAATTTCCCTTTTTTTTGCTCCAAAATTTCCCTTTTTTAGCCCCAAAAATCCCCTTTTTTAGCCCCAAAAATTCCCTTTTTCTCCTCAAAAATTCCCTTTTTCAGATCCAAAAATTCCTATTTTTAGACCCAAAAATTCCCTTTTTTCCCAAAAAAACTTCTCTTTTTCTCCTCAAAATTCCATTTTTTTCCCCAAAAATTCCCTTTTGTTCCTGAAAATTCCCTTTTCTCTCCCCACAAAATTTCCCTTTTTCTCCTCAAAATTCCCTTTTTTCTCCTCAAAATTCCTTTTTTTTCCTTAAAAACTTCCCTTTTTGTTCCTCAAAATTCCCTTTTTTAGCCCCAAAAATTCCCTTTTTTAGCCCCAAAAATTCCCCTTTTCAACTCAAAACTCCATTTTTTTCTCCACCCAAAAAATTCCCTTTTTGTTCCTCAAAATTCCCTTTTTTAACCCCAAAAATTCCCTTTTTTAGCCACAAAAATCCCTTTTTAGCCCCAAAAATGATTCCTTTTTTAACCCCAAAAATTCCCTTTTTTCTCCCCAAAACTTCCTTTTTTTCCCTCAAAAATCTGCTTTTCTCCCCTAAAAATTTTCTTTTTTTCTCCTCGAAAATCACCTTTTTTTCTCTCCCAAAAATACATTTCTTCACCTCAAAATTCCCTTTTTCCCCATAAAATTCTCTTTTTCCTCCTCAAAAAATTCCCTTTTTGTTCCTCAAAATTCCCTTTTTTAGCCCGCCAAGAAATTATCTTTTTCTCCTCAAAATTCCCTTTTTTAACCCCAAAAATTCCCTTTCTTAGCCCCGAAAAATCCCTTTTTTATCCCCAAAAATTGCCTTTTTTTCTCTTCAAAATTCCATTTTTTAGCCCCAAAAATTCCCTTTTTCTGCCCCAAAAATTCCCTTTTTCTGCCCCCAAAATCTCCTTTTTTTTCCTCTTCAAAATTCCCTTTTTTCCCAAAAAAAATCCCTTTTTCTCCTCAAAATTCCATTTTTTCTCCCCCCAAAAAATTCCTATTTTATTCCTCAAAAAAAATCCCTTTTTTAACCCCGAAAATTCCCTTTTTTAACCCCAAAAATTCCCTTTTCCTCCTCAAAATTCCCTTTTTTAGCCCCCAAAAATTCCATTTTCTCCTTAAAATTCCCTTTTTCCCCCCTAAAATTCCCTTTTTTCTCCCCAAAATTTTGGGATTGTTTGGGGATTTGGGATCACTCCAGAATTTCGGGATGGTTCCGGGATTTTGGGAATTGGGGATTTTGGGAATTGGGGAATTCAGAATTTTGGGAATTGGGGATTTTGGGAATTGGGGATTTTGGGAATTCGGGAATTCAGAATTTTGGGAATTTGGGAATTGGGGAATGCAGGATTTTGGGAATTCAGTAATTGGGGAATTCGGGATTTTGGGAATTGGGGAATTGGAAATTCAGGAATTGGGGAATTTGGGAATTCAGGAATTTGGGAATTGGGGAATTGGAGATTTCGGGAATTCAGGATCTCGGGAATTGGGGAATTCAGGAATTCGGGATTTTCGGGAATTCGGGAATTCAGGATTTCAGGAATTGGGGAATTCAGGATTTTGGGAATTCGGGAATTGGGGATTTCGGGAATTGGGGAATTCAGGATTTTGGGAATTGGGGAATTCGGGATTTTTGGGAATTCGGGAATTGGGGAACTCGGGATTTTGGGATTTCGGGATTCGGGAATTGGGGAATTGGAGATTTCGGGAATTCAGGATTTCGGGAATTGGGGAATTCAGGATTCTGGGAATTCGGGATTTTGGGAATTCAGGATTTTGGGAATTGGGGAATTGGAGATTTCAGGAATTCAGGATTTTGGGAATTCGGGATTTTCGGGAATTGGGGATTTCGGGAATTGGGGAACTCGGGATTTTGGGAATTCAGGAATTCGGGAATTGGGGAATTGGAGATTTCGGGAATTCAGGATTTCAGGAATTGGGGAATGCGGGATTTTGGGAATTCAGGAATTCGGGATTTTTGGGAATTCGGGATTTTTGGGAATTCGGGAATTGGGGATTTTGGGAATTGGGGAATTCAGGATTTTGGGAATTCGGGATTTTTGGGAATTCGGGAATTGGGGATTTCGGGAATTGGGGAACTCAGGATTTTGGGATTTCGGGATTCGGGAATTGGGGAATTGGAGATTTCGGGAATTGGGGATTTCGGGAATTGGGGAATTTGGGATTTTGGGAATTCGGGATTTTTGGGAACTCGGGATTTCGGGAATTCGGGATTTTTGGGAATTCGGGAATTGGGGAATTCGGGAATTGGGGAACTCGGGATTTTGGGATTTCGGGATTCGGGAATCTCACCCCGGCTCCTCGGGCAGCAGCTTTTCCCATCTCGCCGCTTTCTCCGCCGCCGACTTTTCCCGAATTCCCAAATTTTTCAGCTGCCAGCGGAGCCGGGGGGCGACGGCGCGGGGCTGGGGGCGAGGGGTCAGCACCCCAAAATTCCCAAAATTCCACCCAGATCCCCCCAAAATTCCACCCAGATCCCCCCAAAATTCCCCCAATTCCCCAAAATTCCACCCAGATCCCACCAAATTCCCAGAATCCCACCCAGACCCCCCCAAAATTCCCCAAAATCACACCATTCCCCCAAAATTCCGAAAATTCCACACAAATTCCCTCAAAATTCCAAAAATTCCACCCAGATTCCCCCAAAATCCCCACAATTCCACTCAGATTCTCCCCAAAATTCCCCCGAATTCCACCCAGATCCCCCAAAAATCTCCTCATTTCCCACAAAATCCCCTCAGGATTCCCCAAAATCCCCTCAGGATTCCCCAAATCCTCTCAGGATTCCCCAAAATCCCCTCAGGATTCCCCAAAATCCCCTCATTTCCCCCCAAATTCACTCAATTCCAAAAAAATCCCCTCAGGACCCCCCAAATCCCCTCATTGTCCCCCAAAATCTCCTCATTTCCCCCCAAAATCTCCTCAGGACCCCAAAATCCCCTCATTTCCTCCCAAAATCTCCTCATTTCCCCCAAAATCTCCTCATTTCCCCCAAAATATCTCCTCTATTTCCCATAAAACCCCCTCATTGCCCCCCAAAATCCCCTCATTTCCCTACCCAAATCTCCTCAGGACCCCCAAAATCTCCTCATTTCCCCCCAAAATCTC